AGATAAAGAATCACCTAACAAGGTGTTCCAATTAGCATCACAAAATCCTTCAAGTATAGCGGGGTATCTTTGATAACATAAACCATAATTTTTGGTAGCACATGAATATCCCATTACGTGTTTAACACAATCCCAATGAAAGGAATTAGGCTTGCTAGTAAATCTCCCTAACATTCTAACTGCAAAAGAAATGTCAGGTCTAGTGCAATCAGTAAGATACCGTGAACTACCAATGATACTAGCATATTCCTTTTGATTGAGAATATCTCTATCATGTAAAGTGGGATACAAATGCACACTAGCTGATAAAGGCGTCATAACATGTCTAGAATTATGATAGTTATATTTCTTCAAAATTTTTTCTATATAATGACATTGGTCAAGAAAAATTCCATCATAATTCCTAGTTATTTTCATGCCAAGAATTACATTAGCCTCACCCAAATCCTTCATGTCAAAATGCTGATTTAACAATGACTTAGTAGTGTTAATCACCTCTAAGCTTGAACCAAGAATCAAGAGTTCATCAACATACAAGCATATAATAACATGACAATTATTGAAAATTCCAAAATATATGCATTTATCACTTTCACTTGATTTAAAACCATTTTCATTCAAGCAACTATCAAATTTCTCATGCCATTGTTTTGGAGCTTGTTTCAAACCATAAAGAGATTTAGTCAATTTACATACCTTGTCTTCCTGGCCAAGCATAACAAAACCTTCAAGTTGATCCATGTAAATTTCTTCATGCAAGTCTCCATTTAAAAATGCCGTTTTAACATCCATTTGATGGATGAGCATGTTATGAACAGCGGCCACAACTATAAGTACTCTAATGGAAGTCACTCTTGTTACAGGTGAAAAGGTATCAAAAAAGTCTAGTTCCTCCTTTTGTTTGAAACCTTTTGCTACAAGTCTTGCTTTATATTTCTCTATGGTTCCATCCGGTTTAAGTTTTTTCCTCAAAACCCATTTACATCCTATTGTTTTACAACCAGGAGGTAAATCTACCAACTTCCAAGTTTTATTAGAAATCAAAGAATCCATTTCATCATTAATAGCTTCTTTCCAAAAATCAGAATTAGAAGAAGTTAAAGCTTCTTGAAAAGACAGTGGTTCTCCATCTACATTATATACATAATAATCTGAACCAAAATCTCTTTCTTTACGTGTTCTTTTACTTCTCCTAGGTTCAAAATCCATGTCCTCTTGGTTTTGAAAATGAGATGAAATTGAGGAACTAGGTTCAAAATCATTTTTTTTTGTAAAATCATGACTTCCATCCTTCTTAAGTTTAAAAGGAAATTTATCTTCATGAAATATAGCATCCACAGATTCAATAGCAACATTAGAATCAAGATCAAGGAATCTATATGCCTTACTTGTAGTTGCATACCCAATAAATACACATGTCGCAGCTCTTGCACCCAACTTTGGTCTTTTTGGATCTGTCAATCTTACATAAGCCAAGCAT